ATGCAATCTGCCTCCTCAAAACCATTGCAGTAATGGCCTGTGTTCTCCACCTGCTCCCTACTCTGACATCTTGGCATGTTCTCTCTATACTTCCTTATGACTCAACCATACCATTGAAGCTGTGGGCTCAGTTAGTGGCTAAGGCATGTGCATTTGGAAGATGGATTTAGCAACTATGTGAAAGATGGATTGGAAAAGACTGAAGTCAGGAAAATCAGTTGAGAAGTTATCATATTTGGATCATAGATTTAGTTCTGGAAAGGATCTGAAAGGTCACCTAATCTAACTCATTTTGCAGAGGAGGAAACTGAGGCCCAGAAGGGGTAAAGTAACTTGACCAAGGTTACATGGTCATTAAGTGGCAGAAATGAAATTTGAACACAGGCCCTCCAAATCCAGTACTCTTCCCACTATGCCACATGCCTCTAGTCTTAACTAGGATAATGGCAATATCAGTGGAAAGGAGAGAATGGAAATGAGAGATATTTCAGAAAAAGAACTATGAGGAGATTGTGGACAATAGCACTCAAGGATCGCAAGTCAAGCATTTTATTAACCTCAGACATGCAAGCGTGAAGCCTGTCAGTACCTTACTGCCTACAAGTACAAGCAGTGGCTCTGGCACATAGTGGGACGTATACTTAGGTTGAGAGCCCAGAAATCTAGGTCTCTGTCTTCACTTCTGACTGCTGTTGTTGGGCAGATTTACAGGGACCAAGTGGAAGGGAGACTGTAGGGATAGTCAACAATCCAGTGGTGGGACTGAGACACCCCTCCCCCACACACACACACCTTTATCGACCACAAAGGCACTGTGATTAGGAAAGTTTGCAAAACTGATTATGATCAGAAGAGCCTTGAATACCTGGCATATCTGGTTTAGATGAAGCTGGCTAAACCAGCTATAATTAGGAGAGTCTTACAAACTTTGCCTAAATGAAGTTGGCTTACACTACTATTGAGCATATAAAAACATCCCAGTAAGGTCAATCATTGATCAAACATGGAGTCATTTCTGTCAACTAGAACTAGTAGTTAGGTGGGTCAATCAGTGAATAAACATGAAGTCATTTATTTTAAATAGGTGAAATTAGGCAGTGCAATAGACAGAACTGGGCCAGGAATCAGGAAGACCCGGGTTCAAATCTAACCTCAGACAATTCCTAGTTGTGTAACTCTTGGCAAGTCATTCAACTTCTATTTGCCACAGTTTCCTTATCTGTACAATGGTGATAATGATAGCACCTATATCCCAAGGTGGTTGTGAGGAAAAAGGAGATAAAGCACAATGCCTGACACATAGTGAGCTCCATAAAAACTTTAGTTATTATCATTATTAGCAATAAACCAATCCTCACAAAAATCAACAAGTTTTTGAATGTTGAGGAAGAGGAAAGATTTTTGTATGTACTACTGTGTATAAATAAGAGTATAAACAGGATATAATTTCAAAGGAAAAGAACTAAGATTAAGGAAGACTGGGGCAGGTATATTATAGAAGGTGAGACTGTCTGAGATTTGAAGGACGACAAAGAATCCAGGAGTTAGCAATGAGGAGAGAATTACAGGCATGGAGGACAGCCAACAAAAATGCCTAAAGCTGAAAGATGGAGAGTCCATGATCATAGAATCTAGAACTGGAATATGCATTAGAAAAAATAAAGTTCAACCTCCTTATTTTACATATAAAACTGAGGGCCAGCAATGTTAAATCATTTGGTCAAGGTCATACAGGTAATAAGTGGAAGAGCTAGAATCTGAACTCAGATACTGTGACTCCGAGTTCAGTCTTCTTTCTTTCTTTTTTTTTTGTTTGTTTGTTTGCTTTTTGGTGAGGCAATTAGGGTTAAGTGACTTGCCCAGGGTCACACAGCTAGTAAGTGTCAAGTGTCTGAGCTCAGTCAGGTCCTTCTGACTCCAAGACCAGCGCTCTATCCACTGCGCCGCCTAGCTGCCCCTTCAGTCCTCTTTCTACTACTAATAAACAACATAGAACTGATGTCTTACTAGGGTTAGATTGCTTCTTGCTTCTATTCAGTTCATCAAGTATTTGTTGAGCTTTTGAAAAGCAAGTATTTCTTGGGCATCTGGATTTTATAGGAACCTTTACAAGAGAGTACCCTAGTAAATACAACAATGATACCCTAGTAAACAAAACTGTGGCTCCTGTGAAATAGCCTTGTATCCTTTCTTTCCAGATTAATCTCAAAAACTTAAGCTGTGTCTGTATGGGCAGCTAGGTGGCACAGTGGATAGAGCCTTGGAATCAGGAAGACTAGTCTTCCTGAATTCGAATCTGTCCTTAGACACTTACTAGCTGTATGACCCTAGGCAAGTCACTTAACCTTGCCTGCCTTAGTTTCCTCATCTATAAAATGAACTGGAGAAGAAAATGGCAAATCAATTTAGTATCTTTGCCAGGAAAACCCCAAATGGGGTCACAAAGAGGCAGACACAACTGAAACAAATGAACAATACATTCTTCTTGGAATGTCAGAAGGGGTCACAAAGAATCAAACGGGACTGAACAATGATGAAAACGACAACATAAAAGTCCAAAACAATTGGATGAAAAATGAAAGCTGTAATCAATTTATTGTTCATTTACACATAGCCAATCGTTCTAACGGATGGTCAGACTGAATTAACTTGAGTCAATCAGGGTTTTAGCACCCCTGACGCACAGTTTCTTCCAGGCCATAAGAAAAAAAAAAAAGATTTTACACATAGTAACGTGTTCACTGGCCCTTCTCAAAGTTATTACAGTCAAAGTAGCAGTTAGAGCAATAAATAACTTGACTAAGCTCCTGAAAAGTACAGGGCCAGGTTAGGTGGTTTATTTTCAGTCAGTATTAAATCGAGTCATTGGGCAAAGTAAGAGAGGTCTAGCCTTGAAGTCAAGAATACCTGAGCTCATCTTATTCCTGGTATTTAATAACTCTGTGACCATAGATGAGTATCTAAACCTCTCAGAGTTTCTTTAACTTAGGAAACTCTCTAAAATGAGAAGTTCCTGACGGGTTGAAAACTCGGCATCATAGAGTTCCTCACACCCATGGAGTCACAGGTTGGAACCAAAAATAAAACAATAATTATTACTTATGAGCCTCCTGAGTTTGTCTAAGCTTTGCCTAATTTCCTTCAGGACTATGGGCTGTACTAATTGGTTTTCCATCTTACACTCTATAAACCAGAGAGTAGCAAGGGGAATACTAAGGTTACAGCATGTCAACATTGTTCGACTGGACCAATGAAAGGAACAAAAGAAAACTGCAGCCTTCCCAGATGTAACCGCAATGAGTCTGTCCCTTAAGTCAGTGACATGGCATTCTGTCACAGTGCCCATTCACTCCTTATTTATTTCATATGAGTCTGACTGTCGATCTCTGTTAATATATATGGAATTGAAGCAATTGTTTTCTTGATGGAAGGAGAAATCGCTCAGTGCATTCATTATTTGAATGCTCACTTCCCATCTCCTGATTGGCTTGCTGGCAACATGTGATTAAGACTTAAATTCACAAGCTGCATAGAGACAATAGAGTGTAATAAGATGGAAAAAGAGCTGGACGTAGAGCCAAGAGAGCCCTGGGTTCAAATCTCATCTCCTGTATTAGCTAATTGGATGGCCATGGTCAAGTTACTTAATCTCTGTGAGCCTCAGTTTACTCATCTCTGAAACAGGGATATTAAGTAACTTATATTCTAGGCTTATTGGGAACAGCTAGGTGGTACAATGGATTGAGCACTAAACCTGGAAGTCAGGGAGACCTGAGTTTAAATACTGCCTATTCTTAACTTTTTTGCATCATGGATTCTTCTTGCTGCCCAGTGAAGCCTATAAACCCCTTTTGAGAATAATATTCTTAAGCTATAAAATAAAATACATAAAATTAAGGAATTCAATTAAATTGAAATAAAAATGTCACTTTTTTCCCATTGAGGTTCATAGGTCCCCTGAAATTAATCTACCTTTTTGTGGATCCCAGGTTAAGATCCCCTACTGGGTAGAGGAGAATTCATAGGGCCATAGATTTAGAGCTGAAAGGGAACATTACAAATTCAACCTCTTACTGAAATAGAGGCCAATAATATAGCCTTTTATCTACAGTTTCTCTCCTCTAAATGGAGCAAAGAATGGTCCAATGTTTGCTTCTCTTAAACTAGTATTTTACAATATCTACACTGGATTGCAGGGCCATAGATGTGGAAGGGACAGTCATCTAGTCCAACCCCCTCCCTGTCTTACAGATGAGAAACTGAGGTTCATAGAGATTAAACACAGTCCACACACACAGAATGTATCAGAGCAAGGATTTAACCTAGGTCATCTGAATCCAAAACCAACATTGTCTCACCCACAGAAAGTATCTTTCCTTTTTTCTCTACAGAATCAGTGCATTATAAAATAAAAAATCTATTATAAATAGCATGTTATTACTTTTGGCAGGGGAAGGAATGAATGGGGTGGTATAGTGAATCCAGTTCTGGATCCCAAAATCAGGAAGACATAGGATTGAATCTTACCTGTGACACTTACTGGCTATGTGACCATGGTCATTATTTAATCTGTCACATGGGAATGCCTGTACAAGGTATTTACCAGACTCCGTTGGGATAACAGGGTAGCTAGGTGGCATAATGGATAGAGTCCTGGGCCTGAAGTCAAGAAAACTCATTTTCCTGAGTTCAAATCCTGCCGTAGACACTTGATAGCTGTGTGACCTCAGACAAGTCACTTAACCCTATTGGCCTCAGTTTCCTCATCTGTAAAATGAGCTGGAGAAGGAAATGGCAAACCACTCCAGTATCTTTGCCAAGAACACTCCAAATGAAGTCACAAAGAGGCAGACACAACTGACCAACGACAATGGAATAATGGGATATTGAACAGAAAGTGTTTTGCAAACCTTAATTCATTATGTAAATGTCAGCTATTATTATTTTTGGTGTGTGTAACTGATGCCAATTCTCTCTTCTCCCCATCTCTCCAAATACAGGAGCTAACGCCTCAGCCCCAGACCAACTGAGCTTAGCATTAGCCTGGAACAGAGTAGACATCGCTAGAAGCCAGATCTTTATTTATGGGCAACAGTGGCCGGTATAGTATATACATCGTCATCTCATGGAAATGCCCCTGATGTGGACTTCAGAACTAATTTAAGCAGTCTCTGGAGGGGCTCAAGAAAACACTGGGCTCTGATTTGAGAACTTGGCTTCTTGGTGACAGGAGAATCTGTCAGTAGTTGATTTGGCTGGCAGAGGCTCCCTTCTTGGTCTTTAGGGAAAGATCCCCATCTAGTGGAAGCATAATTGAGCCAGAGCAAAACTCCTTTTCTTGTGCCAATTAATACCTGTGCCAGCCAGTTTTCAGTTTTCAACTTTCTGGTTTAAAAAAAAAATCCCATTAGTGAAAACAAAGATCTGAAAGGAATTAATCACTTGTCTTTGTTCGAGGGTAAGAGTGAGAAATAGGTTGGCAATTTCTGGGCCCCAGGCACCCTTGTCCTACTTTATGCCTGGGTCACACAGAGGAGACTCAGAACACACACCAACATGGCAAGTGCCATCTGGCACTATGCAGCACAGCACATGGTCTTCTGTGTCTCCCAAAAGAACAGCATGAAAGGAAGCTGAGCTTTATATAACTGTTCTTGGGCTGTGTCCCTGATTGTAAGGGGGAGGGAACATTGGAAAATTGGGCACTGGGTGTGCCCATTGCAGCCTGGGTTGGGGGGAGTGAGGAGGAAAGGGAGTGGGGAGCACACAGATGACATGAAACAAGCCCTGTGCCTAGAAGCACCTTTAACACTGACCATTTCCAGGTCTTTTTTTTTTTAAGTCTCATTTTATCAGAAAGGTTGTGCTTGGGTTAATGCCAACACCTGTCTGTCCTCATCAGTCAAATTAAGTGAATGACACTGTTACTTGAGAATGCAAAAGAATTTATCAGAAAACTTGAGCATTGGGAGGCTGGGGAGAGAAACGAGCGAAATAAATTGTTTCTAAGAATAATGGGTTATTTTTTTGTTTTGCTAGATATACCACAGTCTGCCTCACCCTCTTCTACCAGGGCCAACTAGTAGTCACTTAGATTTGGTTTGCTAAAACTAATATACTTCTGGGCAATTATTAGGCACTATCTTAACCCCTGAAAGATGGTGAGATAGACTGGACAGAGGACTAGCCTTGGAATCAGGAAGGCCTGAGTTCAGGTCCTCCATATGATGCACATTTACTGTGATCATGGACAAGTCACTTAACCTTTTTGACCTCCCAGGGGAATTTCATAAGATTGTAAGGGAAGCAGAGTGGTACAATAGAAAGAACAATGAATTTTAGTCATAGAACTCAGGTTCAAACCCCAGGTTTGGCATTCCCTGCCTTTATGACCTTAGTCAAGTTTCTGGCCTCAGTTTCCTCATCAGTAAAATGAGGGAAATTGGCTGGATAGTCTCTAAAGTTCCTTGCAACTCTAAATTTATGGTCCTATGAGTTATAGCAAAATTGCTGATCTGCTGCTGATGAGTTTCCATACCAGAAGTTCCCCATAGCTGTGAAATCACAAGTGTGTACAAAAATAAAAAGGAGCTCTGGTTGAAGTGAAAGGATGCATTAAAAATATAAGTACTCCCTTGATGGAGGGATAGTAGAAAGAGAAGTCCCTCCAACTAGTCTGCCTCTTTCAGCACGTGGCTCACGTAGCTACCATCTTATGATAACCACTTACCTAGGTGATGCAAGAAAGCCCAGGAATGAGGCAGCAAAAAAGATGGGGGGGGCGGCGGGCGAATTGCCATATTCATAGATTTTCAGGAGGTTTAAAGCCAGAAGAGACCTTAAAGGCCACTGAGTCCAATCCTCTCATTTTACAGTTGAGGAAACTGAGGTAAAAGAGGTTAAGTGACTTTTCCAGGGTAACACAGCTAGTAAGTGTCTGAGGCAAGTCTTTCTGACTCCAAGTCCAGCACTCTGGTCATTAAGCCACCAATCAGACATTACTTTGGTGGATTAAGTGACTTCCAAAGATCTGGCCAACTTATGCCAGTACTGGGTCAGTTACCACTTTCCAGGTCAGAAGTCATCTAACCCAGTGATCTGGTTTGCAGGTGGGGTCCCTGGAGCAAGCAATGCTGGATGCCCTAGTGCTGGACAGAGTGGATTTTGTGAAATTGCTCATAGAGAATGGAGTAAGCATGCATCGTTTTCTCACCATCTCCAGACTAGAGGAATTGTACAATACGGTAGGGCCAAGCTAAAGCAAATTTTTTCTCTAAGTCTCTTGTTTTGCCTCTTCTACATCTCTGTGTTGGCAAGATGCATGGCCCTTGTCATTCACCCTCTCCACGTTCAATCTTTCATTTCCTTTCCTCACCCACTATGAACATAACCTGGCCATATAACAATAGCAACAACAATAATGACAAAACTAGCTAACTTTTAAAGAGTTTTGTGCGCTGAGACTTGTTCACAAAAACCCTGCAAGGTAAGTGGCATGAGTATTATTATACCCATTTTACAGATGAGGGATCAGAGGCTCAGAGAGCTTGAATGACTTCCTCTAGGTTACACGGTAGGTGTCACAACTAGGATTTGAACCCTTCTAATCCCAGTATTCTTCCTCCTAGGCCACTGAACTGAACTAAGAAGGCTCTCACACAAGACCATACAACTTCTGGGTGTTATAGTATAGCTGATCCCAACTCTATCATCTACAAACTTGAAATAGGTTGAAATCAGAAACTTAATGGAGAATTTTCTATTATTGAAAGTGTAAAACTATATTAAGGCTTTTGGGACTCCCTGTATGGTGCTTTAAAATTTGCAAATCACTTTTACTCTTATTATTTCATTTGATCCTCACAACCCAATGAGATAGGAGCTATTGTTAGCCCTATTTTACAGGTGAGGAAACTAAGGCAAACAGAGCTGAAGGAAGCTTAAGTAGCTTAGCCAGGGTCAAATAGCTATTAAGTGTTTGAAGCAGGATTTGAACCGAATTATTTTTGATTCCAAAGTCTGCTTTCTTGTCTATTTGCAAGTAGGAGGGACAACTTCATAACTAGAATATAGTTTATCTTCTTTAAAAATTGAAATGGCATCAATTGGGATCCTCATAATTCCTCAGGCAGTTGGAATTTTATAGCAATTGGACACGTGCTATTCCATTTAAGTTGTACAACAAACCCTGGGAGGTAAAAAATAGAGTAGATAGTATTGACTTAATGACTTTCCTAAGGTCATTCAGCTAATTAGTGGCAGAATCAAGACATGAATGAACCCAGGTCTCCAGCAGCATGGTACTTTGAAATGAGCACAAGGTTTTAATTCAGAGGAGTAGAGTCCAAATCTCAACTATGGTCCTATGATACAATATATATATATATATGTGGCTTTAGCTGAATTATTTAATCTCTTTGGGTCTTAGTTTCTTTGCCATTCTTTGTATCTCTAAAGCTTATCCCTGCTATATAGCAGGTGCTTAGTAAATGCTTGTTGACTTGACTTGTAAGATCAATGGGTTGGACTTGATCATCTCTGGAATACTTTCCGCCTCTAAATCTATCCTTCTGTGACTCCAATCCCACCGTCATTCCCTCTCAACTCCACACTGCCTCTCCATCTTGCCTTCCTGATGGGTATCACTGCCAGATAAAAACTAGCTGATTCTTTTTGTCATTTTCAGAGACATGGACCATCCAATACGTTGTACCATTTGGTCAGGGATGTCAAAAAGGTAAGATACCTCTCGACAGCAGGTCGGAGGCTCTGCTTCGTGTCATTAGAAATGGATGAACTCTGTTTTGCATGGGCTGCCAAGTCAGAATGTACTCATATCTGCCCCCTAACACCCATCCCTCACTTCATTCCAGATTGTAATTTGTGGCCATGTTGACTGACTCCTCTGCCTACATTGCAGCAGTGATCAAGCTTCTCTCTAGATGGTTTTAGATGCTTTTCTGGATATAATGCTTTGGCTAATGAAATTGTAGGCTGTTTCATGTCATGTGGATTTATGCTGTTATCAGTATTCTTCCATATAGCCTTTACTCTTTGGGGTGCTAGTTTCCATGTTGTTGGTCTATTCATATTATTTATCTTGGTTTGCTGAGCCCTAACTCATTACTGTAGTTTCATTTCTGCTACATTAAATGTAATGTGTTGTACACACATCTAGAAAGATCTAGGAAAAGTACGTGGTGGAAAAGTAATAATGCTTTCAAATATTCCCATTTCTGTAGGATTTTAAGGTTTAAGCGGTGCTTTTATTGCAATAATACCCTATGATCTAGATAAGATAAGCATTATTATCCTTATTTTGTACATAAGGAAACAGAAGTTAAATGACTTACCCATAGTCATTTGCTAGGAAATATCTGAGCATGAGACTCAAGCCTCTTGACTTTCCATTAGGCCACACTTGCAACTCAGAATCACAGAATTTCAAAGTTGAAAGAGACTCATGCAGCCATCTAGTTCAACCACTATCTGAAAAAGAATCTGTATCACAATACACCCAACTGGTCGTCTGGTCCCTCTTCAATCATTATAGCAGGTAGCATTTTTCAAAACATTTTCACAGTTTAGCCTCACCTCGCCTCGTGTGATTGGTGGCAAATTATTATTGACCCCATCTTAACAAAGAAGAAACTAAGGCAGTAAGAGTTGGAGTAACACAGCCAACCCTACCAAGTCATAGGGTCATAGATACAGAGTTGGACGAGACGTTAGAGATCATTTGGTATAGTCCAACCCAGGTCATTTTGTGGATGAAGAAACTGAGGTTCAGACGGATTGTGACTTGTCCAAAGTCACATAGATAGTTAAAAAGCAGAGAAATAATTCAAACCCAGGTCCTCTGATTGCCAAGCCAGTGCTCCTTCACGTAGTGACAAAAGGATTCCTGTCTCTTAAGCTCATGCTTTTTCTACCACATCATTAATATAGTAGATGGGGTTCTGAACCCTCGTCATTATTCTGGGTAAGTGCTACTCTAATTCCAAAAGGCCTGATAGAAAAACACAACTTACTTGGCACACTTTAATTGACAGCACTACCATGTCTTAAAGAAAACTGCCCTGAAAGCCATGTGGGATTTGCTGGAGAGCAGGCTGATGCTGAGGTCTAAAGTTCAAGTTCAGTATGCTCACCTTATAAAAGGGATTTGGTTGAAATGCAGAACAGACCCTAGGGACTCCTATATGTGGTTTCATTTTTTTTGTGCAGGAAGTCTATAGTAAAAGGCAGCTTCTTTCTTGTTCATCCTTTATTCTTGAAGAGGACCAATGACATCAGAAGGGTGATGTCTTGACTTGCAAGTGAATTGGATTTAAGTGAGGCAAGGCTGTGCAAAGTCACCAGCCTCACTGTCTCCTCCAGAGTCATCGGAGTCCAGTGGCAGGACATAGCTGTGGCATAGTGGATAGAAAGCTGGCCTCGGAGCCCCAAAGACTCAGATTCCAGCCCTATCTTTGACATACTGGCTATGACCCTGGGCAAGTCACCTAACTTGTTGATATTCTGGGTAGCTCCCTAATACTAACTGGCAGGGGAAATGCCAACCTGCATTAGTAGAGGAAGTTTCCCTATACCATCCATGAGTTAGTTCCCTTTACCAATGAAATCACTTCTCTGTTCATTGCAGAAAGTCATAGGCCCTGATGGGGTTCATTGGTGCATACCTTGGGCTTGAAGCAAGGCAGAATCACAATGAGATGATATTGATTGAAGCCTATATATTCATGGAGTCCCCAGTACTGAGAATCTATACTAGCTGCCCTGAGGAGCCTCCCTTCTTATTCTAGTCAAATTGAGAGATTTTCTGTTTTTTTTTTCCTATTAGAATGTAAGCTCTTTGAGAGTAGGAATTTTTTTTTAATTTTTATCCTGTAGTGTATAGTGGGTGCTTAATAAATGCTTGTTGATTGACTGACTGATTGAAAGGTCTGGCCTTTCTCCCCCAGGCAAAAGAAATGAGGGGGTCTTGGGATACCCCAAAAGAGTGGTATTTTAGTGAGATTGTCCACTAGGGTAACAACCCTGGGAAAGCTCTCTTTCCCTTGATTCTTTGCTTTACTCTAGGGCCATCTTTAAATAACAGACAAACCTAAAAACTAGTCTAGGTTTATTAGAACTAAGCAGGGAGAGGATTACAAGGCCAGCTTTTACAATATGGCTCTCAAGGACCTCAGGCAAATAGTTAACCTCTCTGGGCATCAGTATGCTCATCTGTAGAATTTGGAGGGTTGATTCTAAGGTCCCTTCCGGCTCTAAATTCATAACCTTTGACAACATCGTCACAAGTCACATATATGCTAAAACCCACAGGAAAGGACTATCCTTGAGCTTATGAGTGATGTATTAGCCTCAGTATTGTGCTCAGTATGCTGATACTGATGATAATAAATACTGTGGCTCCATCACCTTACTTCTCTTATATGTTACCCTAAGAAATGAGAGAACAAAACCCAGAAATGTCTAAAACAATACCCTCATTATTGCCCTGTACCCTCAGCCATCATCAGCCAGGCCATGGTGGCCTAAATGATTCCAATGAAGTTATATCAGTAATCACTTTATCCCCCTTTCCCATACCCTACCCCTTAGTAGAGCTTAGCATTGTGCCATCTCTGTTGCCCCTGTCCCATATCTGATTGCTGTATTTTGCTTTTGGTGGGCATCACTTATAGCCTCAGAATGATTTTCACATTTGGTCCTCCTAGACTAAGGACTATAGAAACTCTTCAAAAAACCCTATTGCAAAACTCCGGCTTATCAATTAAGTTTCTTTTTTGGGGTAGATAAGTGATTCCTTCATATATTTTCTTTACTTCAACTGGAATACAAAGAGTGAGAAATATTTCCTTTTTATGGATGATCTGCTGATTTTATATGAACCTCAAATACTATAGAGTTGGGCAGAGGTTAGGAGGTGCTATGCGTTTGTTTAGGGATTTGGTAGAGTACATTCCGAAGGAATGAACTGAAATTGGGGGAAGAACAGTTGTTTATTCCTTTAGAAATATAGCTGGTACACAGATCTCCCTTTCCTCCTTCTTCCTACTCTTTTTGAATTGTGAATCCTTAGTACTTTTTCCTTCTTCCTCCCAACCAATTCCCTTAACATAGGGGTTCCCAAACTTTTGTTGGTCCTTGGACCCAATGGTTTTCCACACACCTTCCCACACCAATTCAATATGAAAGGAAATAAATTCTAGAGTTTACTATGCATATACACATAAGAATACAATTATTTTATGTAAAATAAATTTTATTTATATAAAATACATTTTAAATTTCATTTTACATTAATTACACAATTTCAATAGGACAATATGATTAGTTACCAAATATTCCTCTCGGCAAGCTTTTACTGCCCCCTGGTGGTATGCATATCCCAAGTTGGGAACCCAACTACTTTAAGCCATCCGGCAGGAATTAAAGTTATCCACACTTACAGTATAAAATACATCAAAGGCAATCCATTATCTCTGCTTTTCTGGGTCTGACATCTGCTGGTCTTGTAGCATTCAGGAGCATAAAGCCAACCAAGGTTTAAATTTCTTCTTTTCTGGTAAGATAATCTCTCCTAAGAATGATGGTAACTTCCTATGGGGTATTCACTCAGGATGTGGGTGTAACATTGACCTCAGAGTTGGCTTGAGGCCACATTTTTTGGTGATGTGATCTCGTGTGGAACTGGAGGAGTACTCTCCCACACTTAGTTAGTCATGTCTCACACATTTGTCCCTTCCTTCCCTAGGAAGGAGGTTGATCTGGAAGAATTTAGTTCCTAAGTTAGAGAGTTTAGTGATCGCTTTTCCATGTGCATTCCACATCCATAACCAGTATAACTCGAAAAAATTTGGAAGACTCTACTGCCTCAGAAAATCTACCCAGTGCAGCATTTGAATGGTCCTCCATCTTGACTGTCTTACCCAGTATTCTATATGCAATGGTTCAAAAGCAGTATGCCGTGTCTTTTCACTAGTGCCTCATCACATTTCCATGGTGTTCCCAAAACCAAAAGGACATTATGTAGGTTTGCCCTTCTTCCTGTGCAACATTCCTCCAAGTGTTACAAAGTAAATTTGACTAGTAGTAATAGCTACTGTCTGCAATAGTCTTTGCAGGGGGTACAACCTACAAATGTAATAACTTTTTTTCTCAGAGAGAGCCATGGCATGAAGGACCAAGGCAATTTTCTGAAAATTTATTCATTTTGGGAAGCAGAGCTGGGAAAATTTCAGCATACTGAGCACAATACTGAGGCTAATACATCACTCATGAACTTGTTTACAGTTTAGAATGAGAGTTTTATTTGATCAAAGGAAGAAAACAACACAGAATCCCTTGAACAGGTGCACTTTGGTCCCAAGGACCCCCAAAGTTACAGTCCCAAACATGAGAAAATTCCTCCCTTCAATTTGTTTCTTCCTCCACTGTTCTGGTACAGAGCACTGGGCCAGATGTGGGAGAGTATTTCTTTTCTCTCCTTCCTACTGTTACCATGGTATTGTTCTCTTTCACACCACAATACAGCTATCTTTTCTGTAGGTTTTCTCTCCATAAAAGTGAAGAAAAAAAGATTTTAGGGCTCTCTCTCTCTTTTTCTCTTTCTCATTTGGTATAATTGCAACTCTATCAAGGAGGCAAAATCCACTGTTGGAATATTAATCTGCAAAAAGTTACTATTCCTCCTCCAATGTATCATAGCTTTCTAGCTGGCTTTCCCCT